GGGAGCATCTATGTGTTCCTACCAGGGAGTTGAATCTGTCAGTTCTGTTTCAACTCGCTGCAGCACAAATTGTTCTGGTTGGTTCAGCCCATTTTGATTATGGTTAGCCCATTTTGGCAAACCTGGACTGGCTCATGGTGGAAGAAGCAAGTTAAGTGTTGTGTGGCTTTTACCTTGAAGGGGAAAGCCTTTAGCTCTTTTTCCTGCTCCCCTGGAAGAATGCACTTGCTTTTCTGTTGCAGTGCACCATCTACTCTCCAAATCTGATATGTGGGATTATGGAACAAGAAAAGCTGCAGTGCAGGGCAGTTTAGGGAGACTGGGTGATGCCTGTGCTGATCTGAGTCAATGACTAGTGGAAGAGAGAAAGGCTGACAGTCCCTGCCCTGAGCACAGTCCATAACGGAATATCTATTTAGTTCTGTGGGTATGTTTGGACGGGTTCATTTCCAGTTTGAGTTTTGCAGTAGTCTTCAAACAGTGGCTGTTTTTGTTTGGGTGGTGGTGGACAAAACTGTTCCAGGGCCTTATTTAATCTTGTTTTCTGGTCTGCATGCCTTTTCAGTGCAGAGGTTAAAGCCTGAAAGAGGGAGGACAATAAGCATTTGTATGTCTTTCAGCTCTCAATATTTATTGTCTCTTAATCAAGTAGTAATTGAACAATGCAAACTGAAATAGAGATACTTTACTTACAAGAGAAACAATTGGCTTAAACCCAGACCTTTTTGTCTTTCTTCTAGGTGACTTACTGATGGCTTCCTGATTCTTTTTGTTTATTTTTGAAATTGACAGAAACATTGCTCAGGTGTTGTTTTCATTTAAAATATTGTGCCCTGCAGCCATTTAAAGTCAGGTTATAAATTGTCATAAGTTCAGATTGAATTTACACTTATTTGAAAATAACTTTTAAAAGTATGTTTAAAACAAAAACAGACTTCAAAAATGACCTGCTTAAGCTCTGATTCAGTACTCAAATGGCACAGTCTGAGCAACGTGTAGTAATAGGAATAAATGGTGGAACAACTAACTTGCTGCATGTGTTAACCCATAGCTGAATAAAACTTTCTTGACTTACCATTCCATCAATACTATCATGATTGCCTTTAATGAATCTATAAGGAAAAGACAGAAGTGAGTGTCGGCAACTCTGACAGTTGTCAATGTCTTATTCCTTTGTGTGTGTGTGGCTGATAGAGTTTTTTAAGAAGTTCTCAAATCAGTTTTGTTTGGTTTTTTTTGAATGACAGTCATTAAAGTCTTCCAGGTTGCTCTGAATAAATGCTATAGGTGTTAAAAACACTGCTGTAAGAAAAATAATGGTAAGCTCTAAGTCAAGGTACTTGAAGTTTACTTCACTTAGTCTTGCTGACAGTTCCCAGACTGTATAGTCAGGTTAGTAGAGACCATTATGTGGAAAACCAAATGGATTTTGGTTCCAGTGACTACTGAACGCTACTGACAGTTTCTCTTACTTTCTTGTAATCAACTCTGGAAATACAAATGTGTTTAAGCAGTTCTTTTGTGTTTAAAAGAAGACTCTAAGGTAGCTTTTAGTGTGCATAATGAATCCTTATATTGAAATGTCTTTGAACTTTAGTAAAATGCTATTCCTCCTTCCTCCTTTTTAGCAAACTTCTGTCTGCATTCTGTCTTCAGCCTTGAAGCCTCCAAGATTGTTGTTCTTCAGAACTAGATGTGGGGTTTGTGTTTCACAGCCTGGAAAAGTATCAGTACCCCTTCCAGTATTCATTTCTTCTTTCGAATATGTTGGAAGAGCATTGCTCATCATTAAAGTATTTAGAATTTTTTTATTATTATTTTCAGTTTTAATTTTTGAAAATTAGAAAGAGGAAAGGGCAGAGTTGTGAGAATTAAATCTTCAGGTTTGGGTCCTTTTACCACAGACAAATAAAGACGAGTAAGTGAAGAAAAGAGCCTATTATTTCTTCCTTCTAACATCTGCAAGATCATCTTCTCAGTCCCATTATTCTGCAATACTAGACTGCTAGAGATTTTTTAACAATACTATGTATATATATTTTTTTTTTTAAACAGTCTGCCAGGAATGGTTGATGTAATAGATATAACGGAATTCTTTGGATTCTTTTAAACGGTAGTCTAATACCGTCTTTTTTTTCCTCTGCCTACTTTTTCTACTTATTTTTGTTGCCCTCTTTCTACCTAATTTATAAAGAGTCTGCTCTTCTTGCTTTGGCATCCCTGTTGTGGATTTTCTTCTTCCTTTGCCAGGAACATGGTGGACTGGGAAGATATTAATGAATACAACCCAAACTGAGTTTGAATACCAGCCAGTGAAAGGGAGAAACTTGAGTTTCTATAAGTACCGAACACAAATATGAGCATAAATCACTGCCTATGGTTTACTCCATAACTGTCCTTTCTCCTAGAAGTAACATCTTTTTTTCTACTAGCAATTACTTGCCTTGCTAAAATTTTGTTCTGGCTTAGTTTGGCAGTTTTAAAGTTCACATGTTTTTCCTCTAATGCACATACACAAGTAAAAATCACGTAATCTAACCAAACTAGACAGAAATTCAACTTTTGAATATGTTTGTAAGTGAGGAGTTTAGATGACAGTTCTGAAAGCGACTGCCATTAATAAAAGGTGGAAACTGCTATTTGATGCTTTCATCTTATTATTTTCATCCCCAAATCAGCATTAATCAACACTTCTGTGGCTGTTTCTTGTTTGTGATTATTCAGTTACTGTATAAAATACCATTTGACTATGGAGTAACACAGATAAGTTGTGCCTTTTTTTTCAACATTAATTGGTGTTGAACCATTCATGCTTTACTGGCTTTCAAAATGTCATCTCAATGCAGGTTTTGGGTTTGTTTTTTCTTTTTTCGTTACTTTAAGTAGCGTGATACTGTTTCATCCAATGCTTTTCTCATTCATTCTGAAGTAAGATTCTGTATTCAGATGTAAAGGTGGGAAAAAGCAATATAATGCCTGACTGGCATTCGTTTTCTTTTCCTCCATGAAAATAGCTCAAATAGAATGTTGCAAAAGTAGACCCATCTTCCAGACAATAGTTGATGACATGGCTGTTGTGGGGGGGGGGGGGGGGGGGGGAAAAAAATGTGTTTGAATTTTGAAAGCCCTTTAAAATCAACTGAATTTGAAGAAGAGATGGACAGGCTAGCTATGTGGCATGGTTTATTAGAGTTGAAAGCAGAGAGGATTTTGTACCATTTATGTATTGGGAAAGGTTATTAGTTACTGATGCTGCTTCTTATGGGGCTAAAAGTATTACTGCGTTTAAGGCCAGGAAAAGCTCTTTCCTTAGAATGTGTTGGCAGGATGCAGTAGTAGGGAAACTGATACAAGAAAGTACATTTCAACATTTGTTAGGGCCATATCTCATAGCCAATCTTCTAAAAGTCCCAACCAAGAGATTGTTTTATTAAAATCACTTTCACTATGAAAAGGCTTAGGTGGTTATATATCTAAATAGATTTTAAATCAAAAAGAAACACTGTGTTCCTTAGACCGCCCACTTGCAGGCCTAAACCCACCAATTTGATATTTATGATAGATCTTCTGACCTTTTAGTAATTTGTTATAAGTCTTGTATATCGAATGTGGTATTTTAGAGGAAATCTTTAAGTTGTGAACCATGTTTTGCTTTGGAATAGGTGCCCTAGAATTTTGAATATTACCCCTTCAAAAGAGAGCCTATTCACAGACTTTTAATGCAAATTTTATTTCTAGTATCCAGTTGTAAATTCTCTGCTCTCAAGTGATTTGCTTTTTTGTCAGTAAGCAGATCGGTATCTTCTAACTTCACACACGTATCAAATGAACCACTATTTTAATTGTCTGTGATGCTGTATGTGAAATTCTAGAAGGATTAATTACAGAGAAGCATATAAGTTCATATGGGCACATGGGGTTTTTTGTTGTTTTTGTTTGGTTTTGATTTTCTCTCTCCTGTTCCTGGAAAAATAACATTGCAACATTTGGAAGATCCCTCTTCTATAAGCTGGACTTTTCAGCAGGTGGAGGGAGATGATCTTTCCCTTCTGTTCAGCACTGGTGAGGTCTCACCTGCAGTGGTGTGTCTCATTCCAGGCTCCGGAGTACAACAGAGATGTGGACATGCTGGAGAGAGTCCAGTGATGGGCTGCAAGGATGATTAAGGGACTGGAGCATCTCACATATGAGGAAAGGCTGAGAGAGCTGGGACTGTTTAGCCTTGAGAAGAAAAGCTTAGAGGGTATCTTGTTCACATATCTAAATACTTGAAAGGAGGGTGCAAAGAGGACAGAGCCAGGCTCATCTCAGTTGTGCCTAGTGACAGGACCAGAGGGAGTGAGAATAAATTGAAACACAGAAGTTTCCCTCTGAACATCAGGAAACACTTTTTCACTGTGAGGGTGACTGAGTACTGGCACAGGCAAGTTTTGGAATCTCCATCCTTGCAGATGCTCAAACGCTGTCTGATGCTCAAAAACTGGCTCTAGGTGGCCCTGGTGGAGCATGGGCGTTGGACCAGATGACCTCCAGAAGTGTCTTCCAACCTCAAATGTTCTGTCATTCTGTGACTTCTTAGTTCAGAAATTCTAACGTCGACATTTGTGATAAATTCAAAATAAAGCTTCCTCTTAGTATTTACTGTGCAAATGATGGTGGTCCCTTAACAAGTGGTTATTATTGAGCCTTGAATATTAGGCTAATATTTTGTTCAGTCTTTGGATGTTTGGTGATGTTCTGCTACGAGTTGTATTTTTTCACTGTACTTTTCTTTCTAAAACTAGATAGGTTTTTTAAATGAAGTAATCATATTATAACCATTCCTTTATGAAGACTTCCAGTATGGACTTTCCTGAAAACTGTAATCTTAAGAGAAGATGAGTCTTTGTGGATTTCCCCCCCTTCCCCGTCCTGCAGTCACCAGTGGTCTGTTTAAATAAGACAAGCAGTTGCATCCTTCAGGAAGGAAATGCGATTAACCAGAATTATAATTATTGCTGTTTCTACTAATTTATTCTTGTCTTTTTTGCATATATGCAGAGCACAAAGTAATCATAGTGGGACTTGATAATGCTGGAAAGACCACTATTCTTTACCAATTGTAAGTATATGAACTACTTAGTTTTTCTGTTTACATTTTAGTATTTGTCACTGCTTAATTGATTGAAAATTCAGCTTTGCAGCCTGGCGGAATCTCTAGGGTTCTGGATCACAGTTTGTACATTAATGGTATTAGTTGTTCTAAACAGTAAATATTAAAAGGATAGTGAAGGAACTGCAGTGTTTTAAAAATGAACTGTAAATAGAATAAAAATTGTACATACAAGCACAAAGTGAACTGCGAATTTTTGCCATCAAAGCCTATCTTTCTTTGTAAGCCTAGAAATAATCCTGTTGCCAAGGATTGCAGAGAATGGAGTGATTTCTAAATTAATGGAAATTCTAGCCACTGTGCAAAAATCCATAAATGTTTCCAAATGTGTCTCAATTTCAGTGTCTAAAATTTGTGATGGAAGATTCCTCAAGATAGTATTTCATCTTGCCTAGGTACTACCTTAAGTATTTTCAATAGCATCATTGTATGCAAATCTTGCCAGCATTATAAGCATATCTCTGATAAATTCGAGACTATTGGCAAGAACATAACTACTATTGTAATCATAGAAAAGGAGGAGGGCGTAGCCAAATGACTGTGCATATAGTTGGATAGAAAGGCAGCAGAGGATGTTTTAAAAAACACCACTTCTTCCTAAGCACTTTTGACAAAGCTAAAGGTAGAACTGAGAAGTTTTCAGCTATGTAAACAAACAGTTCTTAGGAATTTGTTTTAATATTGAATTACTAAGTTGAGTGCTCTGAAAAAATTACATCCTGATTTATATTTTGCATAGTTTAGTGTTCCCCTTATTTGGGATCTTTATAATAGCGGTTTCTACTTGGAAACAAGTGCATTTTAAGTATCTGTTAAAGAGGGGCCTTTAAAAAGAGAAATATCTTAAAATGCAGATGCTTATCCATTTGTTACAAGCCTTCTATGTGCTTATTTTTGATGCTGTTTTCTTTAAGCATGTTTACAGTCTCTGCTACAAAAGCATGTCAGCAAGAGTTTTTAGTCTAAAATGAGATTGAAATGAACTTTTTACTAAAGAACTGCTCTTAAATATTTGCTTTATTTCTATAAAAATTCAAATGTTTAGCTTTTTGAAATATGCCTACTTCAATCTTTTTTTAGCAGAATTACACATATTTACTTTTTTCTACAACAAATTTGTTGTAATTGAGCTGTGACAAGCCTTGTGGATTTTACTGCCTAGTCTTTACAATGTGATATTTTTTTCTTTAGCTTAATGAATGAAGTGGTTCATACTTCTCCAACCATAGGAAGCAATGTAGAGGAAATAGTGGTGAAGAACACTCATTTCTTAATGTGGGATATTGGAGGACAAGAGTCATTACGGTCATCGTGGAATACCTATTATTCAAACACAGAGGTATGAGAGATTGCTTTGAAATCAGCAAATTCAATAAGTTTGTTTGAAATTGTATTTATTTATCTATTATGCATATCGGTAGATTTTTATAAAGATTGCAGCTGTATTGTTTTTAAATGGTTTTGAGGAAGAACAAACCCAAAAGGTGCAAGGTGTATCTGGTATGCAGCCAATTTTCTGGTAATATTTGAAGTATTACTTTACAGTAATGTTGTTTGATCTGTGATATAAACTATGAAGTTAGACTTTCTTCTAGACAATTAAATGATATCAAAATACACTCCCAATCAAACAGGGTTTTGGCATGTTTTTTTCAAGTAGATTAAAAAGAAAATTTTACAATATACTTTGCAAATTCGGTGAGGGTTTGCAGTAGTTAAATTCTGTACATCTAGTCTGAAATGCTTTTGAGGTAACGATAATTAAGGATGAGGAATGAAACTTTCTTTAGGCAGTAGTTTTTAAATAGCTCGTCGGCTTGTGGCTTTTATCCAGATAATAAAGGAAAGTGTAGCTGTGCAGTACTCATAAGGTAACTGGTAGAGCTGCCATTGCTGGAAAGGCTGAAGTAGAACTCAGCAACAAGTTGTCTTTTGGGAGTTTCTTTTTTATGCCAGTGTTTTTGATGCCAAAAGGTTATAGATGCAACATGCACATAAAATCTCTGTAACCTCACTTTGAGACTTCTATGTTGAAGTAAAAGATTTTAGACTTCATTTTTTACCGTTTCTACTAAAAGTAGAGGTCTCTTGTAGGTATTACTCATTATATAAGCATTCCATCCTCCTGTAAAATGAGGATTTCTGCCCTATGCCCCCCCTTTGAGATAGAGGAGATTAGGACGATCCACCCCAGGTGTGCAGAAACTTTTTATCTACTGAAGGCCTGGTGATGATATCTCAACCTTCATCTCTGATTTTGTCTAGAAAAGTATGGCTACATCTAAGACACGTACACATGAGGGTGAAGCGACTTCTGCTAGCATTGTCTAGTACAATAACAATAAGTTCTTGATATTTGTCCATTAAGAATATTTGATTTGGGGATTTGGGGAGATGCATGTATTGGTTCTTTTTTTTGATCCTTTCGGGATGTTTCTCAACATATTCTGGCTAGTAAGTGTGCTTTCTAGCACTTGGAAAGAAGAACTTTCTCTTTACTTAGAAGCCTTGTCTGCTGGAAACAGTTGAGGAAGAAATGGGGTCTCTTTAGTATGCTAATTGTAGCCTTCCCGATATGAATAATTCCTTTACTGTTCCTCCTCATCTACTAGACATCTCAAAGTCACGTCAGCATTAAATTGGCTTAGTTTTTCATACTTTGTGGTCATTTTCAATGGGTGATGAATCTCCTTAATTTTATAAGGGAAAGTGATTTGGAGCATATGTTGGATAATTATAGCAGTGACTTCTAATCTTTTGTTACTATCTTTCTCTTCTTTCTTTCCTTACATGTAAATAGAAGCAATCTAAGCAAAGGTTCTGGATTAATATAAAAATTCCACAAATAATCTTTTTAATGCATACTTGTCCTAATTAGTTTCAACTTAATATCGCTAATTCTGCAATTGTGTTTTAAGAGTCAGATCATATTTTTACAGAAAGGATGTGGAGACAGGCTTACAGACAGAAGATTTGGGGTAGATAAAAGGGGAGGGAGCTGTTATAGTTAAGTTATTGGGGGTGGGGGCAAACAAAAAGAGTTACTTTTCCATTCCTTTTCTTTTAATGTATTCCCATCTGGGCAGAGAAGTGATGGAGTCTCTCAGATGTATGTCATCTTGTTTTTCTCTCCAATGCAGTATGTGCTCCCTGTAACTTTTTTTTTTTTAAATAGATATAGTATCTGTATAATTTTCATCAAAACATGCTTGATCTCCCTACTGGTTGTTCCCACTTACGATGCTGTTAGCACTCCTTGGAGCACACTCTGGGCAGGGCAAGTGTTGAACACTGATCAGCTGTTACAGCTTGTGTACACATACTATTGCGTAATGCTTACAAGCATTTACTTGGCATTACATAGCAGGTAATACTCTTGTCTTTTTCCTCTCTAGTGCAAGGCTGTAAAATGGAAAGTACAAAACAAGGGGCACAAAGAGTGGGGTGAAAGAGAGTAATTTTCATTCCAGTGACAATTGCTTGCCATGGGAGACCTGGCGTACGAGACCTAGCAGTGTCTCAGGATTCAGAACTGCATGGCCGTGAGAATAATGTGCCTGGCAGGAGCAGGAAGGGTAAAATCTCTGCTGTAGCTGTCTCCAAGTGCTGAGGTGGAAGGGCTGGAGGCGGAAGGGTGCGGAAGTCGTAAGTGAGAGGCCAACTGCACAGGCCCTTTGCATTACAAAGGTTAAGGTGTTGTGCAACAACATAATGCTAAGCCCTACAGGTATATAGCTTTCTCAGGTCTGATGAAATCTACTTTGAAATAACATTTAAGCATCGAAAGTAAGATGATGCTGAATTGTGAAAAATATTTCTATCAAAATAGGGAATTTCAATTTCAGTTTTATCATTTTCTAAATATGAAGGTAGTAGTGGACAGTAGTAACTGTTTTCATTGATAACTGTGTAATAAGTTTGTCATCCACATTCTACATTTTTGTTTTTATTTGTAAATGTTGTAGTGTGTATGTGTAGGTGCTTTTGGTAGCTGCATCACTATTTTGCTTATGATGTAGGATCTGAAAATCCACCAAAAAGGTTTAACCATAGTGCAAGAAAGTAGAAGTGCTGAAATGTACAAGCACGATAATTATTTTTTTTTAACTATAATCTTCATGTATGATTCCCAGGGGTCTAGCAAAAGACTGTATCAATAAACCTCTTGTTCTATTTTTCAGTGTGCTCTGAAAGTCTAGGTCTCTCTTAAATAGGAAGACTTGTGGTAGTGGTCTCTTGAAAACATGCTTTCTGTAATTTATACTTTGTACTTACAGAGTGTACTATTGTTTTTTCCCCTAGTTCATCATTCTTGTTGTTGACAGCATTGATAGAGAGCGACTTTCTATTACAAAAGAAGAACTTTATAGAATGCTGGCTCATGAGGTATGGGGGGAGTTGGGATAATAGTTTTCTTTTGTTGTGAACAGTCAAATAACATTACAAGCTTCCTAATTTAACAAAAATTATACTGTCACAAAAAAATTTCTGAGCCCAAATGTGTATGCGTGTTGATCATGTTTTAACATCATGTAAATTATAAATACGCAGGAAAATTATTATGAAGCACTTCTAGTAGGGCTTGCTTGATTGTAATCAAATCACTCTTTACTTTGCAAATTTTGAACTTGTAAAATATCTTAAACTTCATATTAATGTAACTGGGTATTGTTCAGCACCACTATCTCTCTTTAAGTTAAATCTTTAAAATTTCAAGAAACATTTTATTTATTTATTTCATTTTTATTTTAGAAAGTTGGCAATTCAATTTCTTGTTCTTGTTTGTTTTAATCCTGTTTCTAAAAATTAAGGAGCATGTATGATACAATGGATAAATTAGTTTCAGTTCAGTTTCCTTCTGAATTATTTTGTTTGTATTTTTATTATTATGTGTTGTATTGAGGACTGTTCAACATTGGGTCAACTCCCTCAAACATCCTAAGTTAACATCTACACTGGATTAGCTAATGAACCACTTATACATTAGTATAAGAAATGTAAAGAATGTTTTAATGTACTAAGCATTCTTATGTACAAGAAGTACATTAAAACATTCTGTGATCGCTTTCAAACTAAATTAGGCTTGTTTTAAATCTAAATATCTTCCTTCATTTTTCAAGGAAAAGGATTTAGTACAATGCAAGTAATTCTGTTGAGCTCCTTTCTCTGAGACATTTGCATTGTTTCAAATGAGTGAGTTTTTACTTCGCAGTTAATATTAATGTAGTTTGGGTCTGGTGGTAAGGAGCAAAAACACTACCACAAATAGGGGAAGATAACTTTTTGTGGTGAAATTTTCCCATGTAGTTTATTAGTTTCCAGTGTTATAAACTCTTACGAGATTTTGATCTACCATCTCCTGAAAACAGTTGGTAGGCCTAGACTGGGCTATTTGTAGGAGTGAATTTTCAACTCTGGACCATAAGGGTTTGGGATTTTTTTTCCTCTTGATGGAGAAGTAGTCTCAAAATTTAATAGATATTGAAATATGTTAAACACTTTTAATTACAGTTGTCAGCTTCCTGAGTACCGCATTTGTTTACCCTTCTGCACTCCTAAAACCATACATCCCAGTTCTTGTCTCATTGCTATGGAATCCTAATTTCCGTACAGAAACAAACCAACTTCTTATTAGTTTCTGTTTTCACTAAAACTGCTGCAGCATTATTTGAGCTCCCTTTTAGGAACAATAGGATGCAACTTAGAAAAATTTAGATAGCTTTCTTAAATTGTTGCTACTTTAATCGCTACAGAACTTGTTTAATTAAATTGCAAGTAATTTCAAGGGAACGATGCCTAGCAGGATTTTCTGTTTGAATAGTATCTAATGTAGATTTTGGAATGTTTATCCAATGATAATTTGCTGGCTGGATTTCTTGGAGCTTTATGAAATATATTTTAACAGGACTTTCATAGTTAACGTATGAACGTGTGGTCAACACTGAAAGCATAGTCATATAATACATTATAATTTGATTCTCTGCGGTGGAGAACACTTCTGAATAGATTGGTTTCTTCAGTCTTTATGTAATTAATTTTTAGTGTAGTAAGTCTTAAAACTGCATGCTGATGTGTAATTGTAGATTAGCTTGAATACAGTTCTTTTAAGAAATTCAGTTAACGCAATAGCCTTTTAGTTCTTTATAGTAACTATTATGAATCCTCTAAATTGCTTCTAGGATTTACGGAAGGCTGCAGTTCTCATCTTTGCAAACAAGCAGGACATGAAAGGTTGCATGACAGCTGCCGAGATATCTACATACCTCACCCTCAGCTCCATAAAGGATCATCCGTGGCACATTCAGTCCTGTTGTGCTTTGACAGGAGAAGGGTAAATGCTTACTGCTTAGTATAGTAGTACATGGTAAATGAGAATACTGATTTAGAAGCCTATTGACACCAATGTGGAGTTACTGAAAGAACAAAATTTCTGATCTTTGCAGTCAGACGGACATTTTGAATTTTTCCTTTTCTTTATTGAACCTGGTAGATTTTTTTCATAGATCAAACTCCAAATTTGTATGAAAGTCTATTAACTTATTGTTAAAAAAACCCAAACAACACCAAAAAAAATCCCAACACCACCACCCCCTGCAAATACGTAGCTGTTGGCTCTGTGCACTACCCTCTCATTCTATGGGTCTTTGTGTAGTTAAATAAATATGCTACTGTCGTCGTCTTTTGCGTTCTGATGTACAGTAAACTTCTAAGGTGAGGGGAGGGTTGGGATGGGTTGCTTGGGTTTTTTGATAAGCATTCATACATAGTTTTGATGAAAAGGTACATCGATCTGGCATAAAACAAAATTGTTACCAGTGTTAAACCTTTTGTTTATTTCTGGGTGATGTAGCTAATTTTGAAATTTGTGTACCTTATGCCTGCAATTACTAAAATGGAAGGCTGAGCTTTCCTTAGATCCTTTGTCTAGAAAGGTCAAAAAACATTTTTGGATGCCTGTAACAAGTTGGATAGTGTCTTGGTTATGTGGTTTGAAGTGTGCTAATTTTTCATCTTGATTCTTAAAGCAGTCTTATGTGTAGTAGCTAGAGGGTTTTTTCAATAGTGTGGTCTTGTGACATCAAAAATAGTGAATCCAACGGAGTATTTGGGAAGTAAAAGCATCTTCCTCAGTTCGAGCATGAAATATTTTTCTAATGTTATGGGGATGTCTTGTAGAGTGATTGGTAGCATTCACTTCCTTTGGGTGGGATGTGTTAGTGAGAACAAATGGGTTTTTTGATTCTTTGAATTGTGTTCTATTCTAAGAGTTAACTATGCTTTCCTCCTACCAGTTTTGCCAAAGTCACTTTTGAGTATTCAGTTTATGTACAAACTTTGATTTTCAAACAAGTTGGCATTTGGAGGAAGGTAGAAATTGATGATTATGAACTTTGGTTTAGAAACATTGGCCATTCCAGGTGGCCTCGTTCTTACTTTAAAAAAAAAAAAAAAAGAACAATTATAATACTTAAAACTGTGACAGTAGTGAGACCAACTCATAAAAAATCCCCAGAGTTAGATCCCTGAGCTGAATCTGAATCTTCCTTGGGAATATCTGACAGAAGTCAAGGGAGATTAGCCCTGTGTGAGTGAAGCTAACCCTCGTGGATAGCTTAGTCATGATTTACTTTACAAAGGTAAAGCTTAAAGGTGGCATAAACTAGGTAGTTAGATCCCTAGAAAATAAAAGCAAGAAATGGGAGCCTTTTAAATAGAGGTGCGAATTGGGTGAATAAGTGGATTAGATCCCATGCAATCTTGGTGTTGTATATAAACATTTTTAATTTTGTAATGGGATTTTGGAATTCTTGATACTCTGCCTTTTCATGGACCAATTCAGTCTGGGTAACCTGTCCTTTGTCTTTTAGTATTGGTATGTAAAGGCCTAGCTTTCAAGTAAGCAGCCTTTCATGGGAAACTTGTAGAAAAAACAAAATATTATTCAGTTCCATGTACTTATGAGTAAGCGTGTTAAGAAGAGTGTGTTTTAGATTTACAAGGAAAAAAGATCGAAGGAGTGCCAAGCTTCAATGAAATACTGTGCTTGACCATTTTGTGGTTAAACCCTAAACAGTCTTAGTTTAAAACACTGTTTACTCTATTCAAGTTTCAATCCCATCTGATTTTTTCCATTCTAATTTTAAGTAGATGTTTTTAAACAGAAAAACAAGTAGAAAATACTTCAAAGATGTTAGAATAGAACTACTACCAATTTAACATCTCTTATTTTTCAGATTATGCCAAGGCTTGGAGTGGATGACCTCCCGTATTGGAGTGAGATAGCTTTTTTTTTTTTTTTCTCCTCCTCCCTAAAAGAAGAGACTTCTATTTATCCTGTGAACATGTACATTTTTCTGTACTTCTGGCTGCTGAGGCAGTGACCATGTTTAATTTATATCAGCCAACCCCCAAGCTGTACTTGAATCAAGCACAGTTGAACGGAAACACAAAGTATTTTCCTAACTTTTTTAATACACTAATCTTCAACAGGATGAACATATGTGAATCTGTTTTTAAGCATTGAAATTCCTCTGAATGTGTATTCTAACTTTTTCAATTATAGCTTTTTAAAATCTGTTTTGTCATTGTCGATATTTCATACTTCCTCTTTCTAAATAGTTTATATAACTTACTAACATAAATGAGCGCAGTTTGTTTAATGATGAAAAAATAGTGAGTAGGTTGACTTTACTCTGGCATAGCTTTAGCCTCTAAGGATAACCATATCTCCAGCTGGGCTTCCTGGAACATCAGTAGAGTTCTAGCCAGCACGTGTGTTACTAGTTATGAATGCAAATTTTTAAATGCTGAACAAGTTAGTTATAGTTAATATTGTGGTGGCTTTTAACCTGATACATAATTGAACTTTTGCCTTAAACAAATCTATTTCATTCTCAGTTTCTGTGGTAAGTAGTTCTAGGACATGATTCTTTTACTTGAAAATACGTCTCCGTACAGAGGATAAAAATTTTGTTATTGAGTGCTGGTTTGGTCTTTTAGAACTTGAATACTTTTTTGAAAATAATCCTCTTGATAATTAAATTTGGAATCGTGGCAGCCACTATTATGTGTAGACTTACTGCCATCTGTTAAAATTTTAAATACTGTATACATGAGCCTTACACACTTTTTAGTGAGAGTGCTGTTTTCTAAATGAATGAAAATCAAAAGGGAAGCCAGATTTAAAACAGAACAAAATCATGGTGCTTTACCTGTAGACTTGAGTGAAGCTAATCTTGACATTTATTTACCCACTAGCAAATATGTTTTCAGATTCTGTTGCAGAGAAAGTATTTTGCCTTAATTTTTGTTTTTAGTCGTCTTTGCAGGAGCAAAGAACTTGTGATGGTGTTCAAGTTAGATTAATTCACCTGAAATTTAGGAATTGAAAGGTAAAAAAGTAGAGAGCTTCCATTTGAAGAACAAGTGGTGAAAGATTGGACCTAGTAACTCTTAATTCAATTTGAAGGGGATGAAGTTAGATCTGTAAAGAGAATCCAAAGCTACGGATGAAGTTAATTGAGAACATTAGGTACCAAAAAAAAAAAAGCCAACCACCAAATGCCCCAAAAAAATCTGAAAGAAAAAAAAAAGAAACCAAAACCAATACTGGACACCCAATTCCTAGTGAAATCCCAGCAGCTGTCAGGTGTCTAACCTACATAAATGCTTCTCAGGCTTTCCAGAAGCACCATTCGGCACTTTTGCATGTCTAAAAAACATGTGGAGTCTAGTTACTAGAACCATTTTGCTAATTGACTGTAAACCTTTAATGACAAAACGTTTCTGTTAAATCTTGTTTTGATAATTCAAGCACACTGAGTTTTCTTTAATAAAATTTTGTTTTGTAAATTTCAATTTGCTTCCATCTTTATTTGAACAAGGCTTAATGAATTTCAAAATTATCAGCAAATATGTTGTCATAAATGTTAAAAATAAGACTTTGAATACATGTGGAAACAGTGATTGGTTGAATGAAGTCGGGTATTAATGACAGTTAGCAGAAGTCACGTTCAGGAGACAGACCATGCTGATGGTCAAGTCAAAATGCTCAGAAAATAATTTAAATCAATTAAAAGTAGTGCTTAAAGAAAAAAGAGCAGTGCAAGGCAAGATTAAAATCTGATACTAAAGCTTCTTGCGCCCATGTTCATGCTAACAGCTGTTCTAATGTGTGAAAACAAGATTTGTTTTGTTCTTAGGGAAGCAAATTATAAATGAAAAAAAAAATAAAATGATACTGTGAATGTGGTTTCATGTTTGGTGACTTAATAATTTCAGTTTGCAATTTAGATTTATTTTCAGGTTTGTTTTTATGTAGTTCAGAATATGGCCAGGAATATTTATAAACAGCACTATCTGGATGTATAACCCTTTGATGGTTTAAAAAAAGGCATGATTTTGTATTTAATCCTTTCCAGGTGTTAAAGGACAAGCTGCTGCCCAAGCATTCATACACCAGCCAAGTCTCTGGCTGCTCAGACCAGGGTCCCTTCCCAGCAGGTGACCCTGGTGAAAAAGGGAGGGACCTCAAAAAAAAAAAAAAGAAAAAAAAAATCCTTGGGCAATTGTACCCTTGCGATCTATACACCTGCCCTTCATGCGCTCTTCGCATGTCTTTTAGTCCAATGGTGATTTTTGGTCTGGGGTCTTCTAACATCTTATTGGATGCTCTGTCTGTGTGCAGGCAGGCTCTTGACTGCTCTTATCTTCTTGATTTGCAGTTTCTGCTGAGCGTTGGAGCCTCCTTATCTTTTGGTTTATGCTTCTTGTGCACCTGTGCTCACTGACAGAACATGGGGAAATGAGAAGTCCTGGGGAACTGAAGTCCCAGACATAGGGAAAACAATACCAAAACATCAGTGTGTTATCAACGTTTTTCTTATACTAAGAGACTAAACATGGCACTGTACCAGCTGCTAGGAAAAGTACTAAGAAAATTAACTCTATTGCAGCCTAAAGGCTTCAGCAAATCTAGCTACTCAGGCTAAGTAAAGCTAAGCAAACAGCATAAATCACACCATATGATAGCCCGAAGTAACTTATTCTAATTCAAACTTACGTATTTGAGCTAAACTAATATCTCTCAACACAAGGTAAAACCATTCATAAATCTATAGTTTGATTACTAAATACAGTCTCACCTGAGGTAATACATCTAACTTTCATTAGGAGGAAAAGGCCGGATGGTAGACCTTGGAATATCAGAATAATTAAAAGTTTTCTTTTAATTCCTTAAACTTAAGACCTTTGAGTACCTCTACAGAAGGAAACATTCTTGACAATAGCTATGATCTTGTTCACCTTACTACTTAATTTTCTACAACAGTTTTCTGTTTATAGTATCAGTTTGTTCACAGCACTGATGCTGTGGTTCGTTTTCTTGAAAAAGGCTTGGTGTGGAATTTTGGGGGGTTTACTTTTAATCACCTTCAGAGCCTGCATGAAAGTTGTTTGATTAAAATAAATTATACAATGGAGCGCTTTAGAACACTGCGTGTGTCTTTGCACTGCCAAACACTGCATTATTTTTGTCAATCTGTATGTAGTAAATATCTTGCAGGTAGTTTTGCCCTTAAAAATATTCTGCATTTAGTATACTGTTCACAAAGAACAATTAATCAGCTTCTCAGTGGAAATTACAAATGTTAGGAAACACTTAAAAACATCCTCGAGTAACATATCAAAAACATTTTTCTCCCAAGTAATCCATTTTACCCAAAATATAGGATACTGTAATGAAGTAATTGATATGCGTGTTACAGGCTAATTTAGAAAATCAGACCCATTGTGTTAAAATAATGCATCATGTTATGAGAGCAGGAGTTCTGATTTGTTTAGCAGCCTCTATGAGCAGGCACCTTTGAGCAATTTTTGTCATGCTTGGATGAGGTTGGCAGGATCGGCTTTTTGAAAGTCATCTTTGCAGACTTCTAAGCTCTTTTGCTTAACTGAATTTGTTTTGTTTATCTGAAATGGTGTTATGTTTTACAATAAGACTTCCCCTTCCCTGATGTGTTTGTCGGTAAGCTAACTGTTGTTACTAAGTAGAACCAGTAATCATTTTAATGTTTCCCTCCCTGTTAATCATTTTAAGACTGAATTGCATAAATAAGTACTAGAAAAAAATAAGCTGGCTAATTGAGTAGGGCGTGTACTGTCCTTCCTATTGCTTTTGTCCACCTAACTTTTATCTGTTTCAATAATATATGGTAAGTGAAAATCATTTACTAAGAAAAAAAAAAATTATGACCATAAAAAGTTGCTTTTCCTTTTGTACCTTTTAGCACATTAAAGTGGGTCATTTGAGGTTGAAAAGGAAAGTTTTCTTTCCCTTCTTTACCCTACAGTTCACAGTTACTGAAGCTTGCAAATATTCAGATGTTCTCTATTACCATTTCATATATTGAATTTTTGAGAAGTTCATTTGCTCTTCCTAAACTGAAATGCCCTCTGTTAACACATGCAATTTTGATTTTTTTTTTTTTTTTTCTAGTTTTGAAAATAAAGTTCTGCAGTCAAACTTACATACTGTAACAGATACCAAAGTATGGCTTTAGGGTTGAAAATCGCTCTGATGAAAAATGACTTAACTGTTCGATTTTTGAGCTCTTCAAGTAATTTTTCTAAGAAATTGTACTTTCATTTGTGTTCTGGGTTTCTTTCTGTATAAAAAAAAAAAAAGCTTTTGGCCAAAACATGACTTGTAGATAAATATTTACAGACAGATCAATAATTTGTGTTGAGCTGTGAAAATGGAGGGGGGAGGGAGGGAAGTACGGCCAGCTGAATTCCTTTTTTTCCTGTTCAATCCCAACACTATTTCATAAGGATAGGCTATAAGCAGTAGATATTTTTTCAGTGTCTTTGCTTAATTTTGACCTTCTTAATGTAACATGTTTCCTTTTTCCTCAGTAATTCCAAAATTCTTCCCAAAGAATACAGGGTTTTGAAGATTCTTCTCAAAGCAGAAGAGCCAGAGTAGCAAAATAAGTGTGTGCCTGTATTTACGTGCTGTTACCAGGACATGATGCATTTCTTGCGTAGGAATACACCTCCTGAAACACTGTGTAAAGCTGCCTTCCTGAAATCATACTTTTTATCAGGTGTAAAAAAAAAAAAAAAAAGGCCAGAAACCTCACACGCTTGTTTGCTTTGGTTTCTTAAGTTAATGGAAAGATAAGCATGTGTTAAATGAAGAGAAAACTTTGTAGATGCAAGCCAACAAATTACGGAATTCTGAGTAGTTCGGAACTGCTGTATGGCTACACAGATATCACTGTAGATAGTCAAATCTGGCATAAAATTGCTTTGTTTTCAGAACGCTAAAAGTTGGAACATGTCAGCTTTCACAGGCACAAAAGTTCTCCTTTTGGCTGACTGTGACTTCTTTATAATTTAGTTCATTAAGTGCAATGTTCAGTCTATTTGAGAGACCCTGAATATGTATCATATGTTTTTTTCACTTTTCATGAGTGTTCATGGCAGTTTGGATTAAGGGTGTACCTTATCTTAGTCTCTGTACTTGCCATGGGAGGTCAGGCTTAGGAAACAAGCTGTCTTGATGGCGCTTTACTACCTTTCCACCTTTCCATCCTGTCTCTCATTGGACCCCTTGTCCTTTTTTTTTTTTTCTTTTTTTTGTTTTTTCTTTTCTTCTTCCCCCTGACGTATTGTTGCCTTGTAGTGTCTTGTCTAAAGATGCTGACAAAGGCATGTG